GGCGTTGTTTAGCCACTTGATCTTCATATTCAGTTTTCCATAATAAATATTGACCACCTGATAAACAGGCCTTTGTAACTTGAAACCAATCATAAGGAATCATCCATCTATTGGCCAAAGCATCTAAAAGGGTTATAGTATAAGGTGCCAATGGGCCATAATCTACACAAGCCTTTTTTAACTCTTTTAATAATTTTAAGGGTAAAGGATCCCAATGGACATCATCATCAAAATCTCCCTCATAAATTACAGGAAAACATGCAGCAAAGGCATAATCATCCTCCTCTCCCTGTACTCGTTTAAACTTATTTTTCTTTAATTGAGGAGGCGGAGGAAGATAATGTGACGATAATATGGGACCAGAAGGAGAACATAATGAGGGTTTAGATGAACCTGGAGGTGGAGGATTTTTTAACTTAAATCTATCTTTCTTAATATCTTTCTCATTCTCCTGAACAGAAAAAACATGAGGTCCATACTTCTCTCTTTCATAATCATAAGCAGCAGCATCTAAATCATCCTGATCTGCAGGAGGTAGTTTTTCATCAAAGGGAGGAGATTCATCCTCTTCCTCTGAATCTTTATCATTAATACTGCATTCATTTAAAGCTGCAGCCAGGAGCTTGGGACCCTGGGTTTTTGGGAGTAGCGGAGTACGCTCATCTATCATTTCTGTTGGATATTTGTATGGAGTCTTTTGACCCTCAGGCAAAGGAGCAATACTCTCCCTAATTAAGTTCCATAAAGTAAAAGTATCCACTGGGACCTTCTCTGGTCCAAAGTGACTATAATATACTTGTAAAGTTTGTCCCACTTTTTGCCAGGTTTCTATATTAACTGTACCTTCTTCTGGAAACCAAGGGCATTGCTCCTGTACAAACTGAAAAAACTGAGTTAATTGCTTACTAGTTACCTTAATTCCTCTTCCATTTATCATATGTTTAACAATATCTATAAATAATAGTCTCTCTTTAGACTCAGCCGTTCCCATAATTAACTAAATTATTCACCGTCACTTACCAGCTCTATACCTAACTGGGGGTCTGCAGCACCCTTGGTGAAATTCCTATCCGCCTGGCTAAATATTCTAATACTTACCCCTTCAGGTCCCTGTTCGGGCGCCACTTGCCGGGGACCAGCCCCAGCTGAACAGGATTCACCCAAAGGAGAAGACGGAGTCGGCGTGGACAGAACTCAGTACACCTCTTCTTGGATGCAAGGATCTGACAAATTTATTTTCAAGATTCCAAAAGCTTTTATACTATAAAGTGATCTCATTTTCAAATTCAACATCCTCATTCCCACACCAAAAACTCCCCCACATAGGCCACAAAACAAAGGTAATTTACATCAGCAAATTGATTAAAACAGGTTAGGTAATTTTCCCATCGCCCAAAGTCTCTTTCTTCTCCCGTGGTTAGTCACATGTTGGTCACATCTAGATCAGGAACTCTGTTTGTTCTTCTCAGGAGATTAAAGTGTTCTTGTACTTGCACATTCTGCTTGAGTGATCAATAATAATCAAATAACATTTCATCTACAAATTTCCCAACCCTACCATAATAATCAAAACAATACACATTATTTTTATGCTTCTAAAAAACTATGGGAGCGGGCATTGTACCATAAACTCATTGATTAAACTCACTGTTGCATAAAAACTCGCCATCATACCCAGGTATTTTCCCAACAAATATAATCATTAAAGGAGCCAAAGTAGTTACAATTCTTCTCTTGGTTTTTACCCTAAATTGGGGTCTTTCCTAAACCCCTGCATTAAAACTATACATTTTTCCCAACACCAATAGCAATCCTATAAAAATCACCTTAGGCAAAGGCAGGGGAAGACAAGGGGAGCCACACAGAGGAAAGCTTTGCTTCCACACAGAGAAAAGCTGTGGTTCACGGAGGAAATGGGAAACAAAGCCCTGCTGCGGTGGAAGAGCAGTTGCCATTGGCCAGGTCTCTGGTCTGCTACCTGGGTTCCCATCTGGGCTGGGCGTGGGAAGCGAAGCAGCCATGGGGACAAGAGACCTCTCTCAAAAGGGGTGAGGGTTCAGGCTCCTGCAAAGTTGGGGGGGTGAGGATCTATGCCCCACCTCTGTTGGCCCCCAAGTTCTCTCCTGATGGCCCCTCTGCGACTGTGCCTGTCTTAGGTTGTTCCTTCCCTGAGGAATCTTACCCGTCTCTGGCTAACCAGCCATCCTCCGGGGCCAAGCAGGGAGATGTGAGGTGTGCGAGTGAGCGAGGTGCAGCGCCCCCAGAGAAGGTCAGTTCTCTGTCACCTTGGTAGCCTATGCCCCCGTGGCCTCCACGCCCAGCACCTGCCCTGGGATTCCTTCGCCAACTGGCGGGGCCCCGGTTCTGATCACATGTCTCCGGGAACCCAGGTTTCTCCTCCAGAGAGGGCCCAGCTTACAGCACTGGGCAAGAGAGACCAATTACACGGCACCAGCCACCAGGAGGCAGGAAGCTTTACAAACGAGAACTTTGCTTTTTCATATTTACACCTGACAGCACCAGCTTTGCTTGGCACTATGGGTCTCATACCTGGCAGTACCAGCTTTACTTGGCACTATGGGTCTCGTCCATGCTGAGACTCAAAGGCTCGTCCTATGTGGCTCCCGGCAAAGCACCTGCTGAGACCACACAGGTCCCTGCTCAGGGGCCTCTGCCAGCCAGAGAAGACACACTGCTGAGTCCCCACCAGGGAGCACAGGCCCCGCCCCCAGGCCCAGCTCCTGGAGTGAAAGGTCCTCCCTGAGCAGCCGTGCAGGGACCCCAGGGCAGTCCCACAGTGCCGCCAGCTGGTAACATGTGGAAAATGGAAAAAATAACACATAACTGGTAGGAAAGAAGAGATTAAAATGCATGCTTTTCCATGAAGATACAACATTGGCTCTATTTGAGAAAATACATAAATGCACTACTTTCCAAAGTAAAAAAATTTATTATTGAATTTCTGCTGAAAGATATGATATATACATTTTATTGGGAATAGCTAAGAAACCTTCAGCAATCATATGGTTCCAATAGATTTGCTTTGTGTATTTATTACAAAACATTGAAAAAGATGTAAAATTTCTTGGTTCTTTTTTTTTTTTTTTTTTTGCGGTACGTGGGCCTCTCACTGTTGTGGCCTCTCCCGTTGTGGAGCATAGGCTCCGGACGCGCAGGCTCAGCAGCCATGGCTCACAGGCCCAGCCGCTCCGTGGCATGTGGGATCTTCCCGGACTGGGGCGCGAACCCGTGTCCCCTGCATCAGCAGGCGGACTCTCAACCACTGCGCCACCAGGGAAGCCCTCTTAGTTCTTTTGAGACAGCAGTTAAAACAGTTATACATACACCACATAAATTGAACACCAAAGAGGAACACTGACAAACCACTATCAATGAACATTGATCCAAATGTTCCAAAAAAAATGTCAACGAAGAAATATTTATACCGGTTTAATAAATTGATACTGAATCTAAATGTCATTTTTTCAAATATACAACTTGTGTTTTATATTAAGACATTAAAAAATAAATTTAACACCAATAATAGCAAATCCACATAAAATAGAACCAAACAACACATTTGTAATATGCTAATACACACTTCACACACGCCTAAGTGCACACAGGTTACCCTGTGGGGCCTCTGCCCCCCAAGCTTGTCTCACCGTCGGCACAGACGCTCCCAGGAGCCCCGCTTCTCCTTGGAGACACCTTCTAACTCCTCAACTTCTAACAGCCCCTCCCTGACCCAGACGTGGCAAAGACCCCACAGAGGACTCGGAGGAGGTGACCCGAATCTGAACCCTGTGGTCAGGGAGGCCACCAGGAGCTCCTGGGTGACTGGGCCTCACAGGAAGGAGGGTCCCACATCAGGGAGGACAGTTTGCCCAGCGCTCTGGAGCCCTGAGTAGTTTTCCCGCTGTCTGGCCCAGCCCCCTCTCTGGGACTCTGCACTGTGCCCCCTGCTGGCCACAGGCACCTCCTCCAGCCACTGGGATGTCCCAGCCCCCTTGCAGAGTGTCCCATTGTACAGCAGGCTTTGCTGATGTTACTCCCAGGAGAGTGGGGTGACGGGGCCTTTCCAGGTCCACCCTGGAGACAGGAATACTCTCACCCTGGGACTCTCGTCTCCATGGAAACTGACCATATTTCCAAAATGTGCATCTCTGTGAACTGTAGCCCCACAGCCCAGCCCTGCCTGCTGTGCAAACACGGCACGTGTGTATGAAAGGACAGTGACAGGGAGCAGCGGGCCACACACGTGGTGACGTGTCCTGTGTGCAGGTTGGGGTGTGCTCAGGGGTGGGGACAAAGGAGCCTGAACAAAGCTGTCATGGGTCAGCAGGAAGGTGAGGG